ATAGTGTTTGTGTACACATTTTGTATTTGAATCAAAGATTGTAATAGAATTATGATTTAATATTATTAAATTCAAGATTACGTTGATATGAAGTTTTTGGATGGTAAATAGTAGCTTATGGTATGATAAAATTTTATGAAATTTTGGTATAGCCACTTTAATTACAATTAGGTTATCTTCATGATCCCTTAACTAACTTATAATGTTTCAATTTAGTCCCTAAAAAAAAAATGCTGACTCACTATTTTAACATTTGTCACGCTGTCATGTCAAATCATCACAAGTTAATGTTTTTTCTTAATATTTAACATAAAGGATTAAGTTGGTTAACATAAATATTTTTAAGTGACTAATCCGTAATATTTATTAACTAAGGGACTAAAGTGAAATTTAAAATTAAGTTAAAGGATTTCGTGACTAATTAAACCAAATTTATTTATTTTTAATTAGAATTTGGGAATTGTGAATTATATAATCATGGTTATAATGAAAGAGAAAGAAAATTTTATTTTTAATAAAAAAATTTGAATGATTATTTGTAAAAACGGAATGTTAGATTTGTTTTTATCTAAAAGTATTTCAAGACACCACCTTTATAAAATACAAAAATATTTTTGCGCGTCATCTCCAGATTGAGATAAACCTAGGGTAAGTTCGAATAAAAGTCTCGAAAATACGTCTTAAGATAATAACTTACTTGATAAATTTCTTAAAGTTTTCTTTTTAATAAATATGATATATAAAATATACATAAATATTATTTAATTAAAACATATATATTTGTCCTACAATTAAAATATCAATTGATAGGAAATAATTTAATTGATTTAATTTAAAGTGCTTAATTATAAATATAACTCATATTTCAACTAATTTATAAATATAAAATAACATAAAAAATTATGTTTAATAATAATTTATTTGTTTTCAATTAAGATAATAGGAATATAATTTAAAGAGAAAATATTAAACTATAAATAATTGAAATAGTTTAAATTAAAATAATTATTAAGTTATAAAAATAAATATTATAAATACATAAAATAATAATCATATGAACTTATAAATACTCCGCCACCAGAGACTAGAGACGACCCAGAAATTTCATAGTGGAGGCAAAATATAAGTATAATTATTTATTTTTATATTTAAACAAGATCAAATTATTTTTAATATCAATAAAAATAGATCTATATAGCTACAATACCACTCCTCTCTTGTACAATTTCACATAAAAATTTTAATACTATTCAAGGAAGAGATCTAAAACTAAATATATAATAGATTTAATACATTTTCTGTTTTTTATTATAAGTCGTTTTTTACTTTTCACACATATTAAGAAATATAATAATTATGGTATGAAAAAGAGAAATTATGAATGATTTTATAAAATTGTCCTTCATTAATGATATTGGAAAGACAAATTTACATAATTGAAATTAGAGAGAATAATAAATATTTAAGAGTATAATAGAAAAAATAACATTAATGATTCATTGATATTATAAAACAATTTATATTGTGGTACAAAATATTTTTTTAAAACGATTTATAATAAAAAAAAAGGGAAGAATCATTTTTGGTTCTATATTCATTTTATTTACTTAAATTAAATATAAAAAAATTATATTGATTCATTAATTTTAGGGGTGGCAAAACGAGTTGGGTCCGTCGAACCCACCCGTTTAATCCACCATTTTTGGCGGACTGGGCGAGGTTTTCAGCTCGGTGTTTTAAGTTGGTCTATTCCGTCTAAACCACTTTTAAAGCGGGTCAAGGGCAAGGCGGGACAGGTTTTGCCCACAAGTTTTTTTGTTTTAAATAATATTTTTTTTACTTAGAATTAAAAACAATATTAATGTGGTAGGTAGTAGACATACTTTTAAAGCAGTCATCATTTCTTCGGACCCTGATATTCATTTTTCACATAATAACAAACATCCAATTTGAAGATATTAATTGGTCTTTTCTTCGTTCTTTATTTTCACTCTTGGTGAAAAAAATCTTTATTGCAAAACATAGATAATATATTATTTTTTTATTTTCTATTATTCGTTGTCATTGAAGTCGGGTTCTAAAGTTATAAGGTAAGTTTTGCACATAGAAGTTTGTTTCTCATTATGATAATAATTTTTTGATTTTTAGGGTTTTAGTGTATTTGTTTTAAGTTTTTGATAATATAGTTACGTTGTTTGTTTACGTTTAAGAATATGATATTTACATTAAGACTTGTTAAAGTTTCAATATGCATTGTTAAAATTTGTTGGCCTCTTTATTAATGATTAATAATTCTATAAATTATGTAGTGAATCAAATTGTAAAAAAAAATAGACAGGTCGGTCCACTATCCCGCTAACTCATTAGTAAATAAAGCGGATTTTACTTTTGAGCTCGGACGCTTAAGTTGGTCCGCCCCACCCTACACCATATTTGGACGGGCTTAAATGAGGCACACCACCTGCTTTATCACCCCTAATTAATTCTTCAAAACATATATAATATTAATTCTTATATTTAATTTACGATAAATTTAATGATATTTTTTTAAAAAAATTTAGCTCTAATTATAAAAAAAACTAACATAATATATTTAAAAAAAAATTTAATATAAATTTTTTTTTAAGTTAAGATAGCAAAATAAACATGAAAACTAAACCTACGCAACAAAAAATATTAAATCTATATAATATTATTTCTTATAACTACACACTTTTAGCAATTTCTTATAAATTAGAATTATAAACTTTTAATTTGTACTGTACTAGTATAACATTATTACATTATTATTGTATAAAGAAAAATGAAATAAACTGCAACTAAATAAAAATGTTGAAGAGTAGTGCTTATGTTTTTGCGTCAAATGTCTTTTCTATGATATACTAAATAATTAGTGTGTGTATATAGTAGTATATCTAATTGTCAGAAGAATTAGGAGAAAAGAGAGAAGACAAAGAGAGACTCAATCTTAAAAGTTGAAATTTTATTTGGTAAAATTGTTGTTTATTTACATCACGCAACACTTTAATATGAGATGATCATGTAAATAAAGCATTTGTTTATTTAAATCATGCAACATTTTAATATGAGATGATTATGCAAGTGAAATTGTTGTTTATTTATATCATGCAACACTTTAATATGAGATGATCATGCATGAATCTTAAAGTAACAAAAAGATAAAATAATAGAAGTTCTTAATAGGATTTATATTTTAGATAAGAGACTATCTAGTCTACAAGAATATTTTTTATAGACTCATCTTTGTGATTATGAAATTTGGGTTGGTTCTTATGGAATTGCGAAACAGAATTCTTAGATTCTTCATTAAATCGAGATACACGTGTAGAGCTATTAAAGCACAAATTATTATAATATTAAAAAAAGGTTGTGTGTGGATTTGATGTCTGAGATAGAGTTTAATAATGATTTCACTCTTGTTGAATTAGAATTTTACCTACTACGCAGAGGTTCAACTCGCAAACACCTTTGTTTATGTATAATTTTAAAAACGTTTGATGTTCATTCTAAAATCACCTTTTAAATTCAAGTAGTTGATTGTTAGAATATTTGAAATGATAATATCTTGGAGTAGAGACTTGGAAGAAGTTAATGGTATTAAGTTGGCAATAAATTAACACAAGTATGTGATATAATGTGTTAGTGAATTTGAAAATTATTCATTAAAATTCTACATAGGAGGGAGATTACACTTTAGTAGTGTTTATATATTCAAAGTGGATAAATTGAGTTTGACTCCAAAGATACTCAATTTTATGGTTGAATGAGAATACACTATCATAAAATATAATACACGGAACGTATCAGCCGACTCGACTTAGTTTGGTCCGGTCCAGTCTTGGACTTGGACTTAGGGTTAATCCAATTTTTCTCCCCAAAATGATGGAAAATTATCTAATATTAATTAATTTATTAATCTATAACATATATAAAGACAATACTTGGTTTTTGGTGTAGCTTTTTTTTATACCAAATTTACCCTTATTTTAAAGTATATAACTTACACAATAACTTCCATTGAACTACTACTATCATCTTTCATATAACTCCCTACTAATAACTTCCATGTAAAATTAATATTAAATAAAAATATATCATTTATATTTATATGTGTGCAATAAAAAAGCGGACAAGTGTCCGTCTGGACGCTAGTTGTGTATAATGTAAATTAATTTTTTATTATTAGTTAATAATAGTGTTTTGTAATTAAATTATGAATTAATTAACTATTAATTATTTAATGTTAACGGCTAACCGCATTTTTGTCTTACCGATCAAGTCTGTCTATTTTTTTACTGATCAAGTGAATAACGACTATTTTAATTGAGCCGATTCCACTCTCCCACGATTTCTTTCATTTTTTTCTTCTATGATTTCTCTCCATAATTGTCAGATCATTGTCTATAAATAAGATTTTTTCCATCACTTGCAACTCACTCCAAAATTTTCAATCATTTGGAATCTCTCTCCTCCCTCCCATTCTCTTCGTTTCAAATTATTTCTATGTTCTAATTTTCGAATGACTTATCGCGCCATCAACAATTGGATTATTTTTAGATACTACAAGTGATTTAAATACTATCTAAATATGTATTTTTTCCAACGATTCATTATAGTGCAAGTGATAATTGTAATTTTGAACGAATTGTTTTTAAACTCGACTACATTGCATAATTATTAACCGAACAACGAAACATTTTAAAAAAAACGATCTAATACAAGACTCGTGCCGATAATATTCAAATTTTTTGTGATTTAGTTAATGGAGTGTCTATGCAAAAGTCATTAAATTGGAATCACAAAAACAAACAAAAATTCCAAAATTCACAATGATCCTAACTGGTCTATATATCTCTCATATCATAAATAATTAAGCAAATCAAATGGTAATTTACCAAACATAAATAAATAGTAGAAAGGAATAACATTAAAGTGAACGAAAATGATAGCCTCAACCTTCTTAAGACATAACAAAATGCCTATGCTATACTTAGAAAGAAACTAGAGAACATAACACCAACAATGAATGCAGCAACACAATATTCCAATCTAGTTGAACTAGAAGACTTGTTGCCATGAAACTCTCCTGAACTCGGTGCTGGTGCAGGTGCCTCTGCCTCAAAAGGAGCTTCGAAGGAACTCATTGGAGTAGGAAAAAACGAGGAAATATCAGGAGAAGGTAAAACACCAGGAGAAGCTGAAATTGTTGCCTCAGTAGTTGTTGAACTCACACCATGTGAATTTTGAAGCAAGATAATTAGCACAAAAGCCAAAGCAAGTGATTTTATGATAGTAATAGTAGCAGCCATGAATAAGAAGAAGTATCTCTAGAGATAAGTGTGTGTGATATAAATAATAGATGTAGTAACTAAATGAGTGTGATTTTTGTGATAGCTTCACGGGATAAGCAAGAGATGTACAATCTATATACATTCTTTCTCATTCATATTTATTAAATGTTTTTTGTTCCTTTCTGTTGGTATGTCGGTAAGTTTTACAGGAGATTCCATTTTGCTGAGGGAATTGTTTTGTTTGAAAATGCTCACATCGGTTTTTCTATGCAACTTGTAATATGTTATATGGATGTACATTTTTTTTTGGCATTTCCTATAATGAGAGTGTCTTAAGAAGGTTAATGTTTTATAGTGATTGTTTATTAAATCAGATGTAACAATGATGGCACTATTATTGGTAGTTATGCTGTCTTACGAGATATTTTTGTTGTTACTTTGGACCTTTTTTTTAATGTTGTCATCACTACTGATCTGATCTGATCAGAAGGGGATTGCTAACTGCCACGCGTCTTCGACTTGCTGCCTGTTCACCGGTGTTGAAGAAGAGGAGGGGGGTGTACCTGCAAGACACTCTGATGCTAAAGTAAGCGTACGGGCAGAGTGACAGCAAATACAGAAAAGGGGTAAGAAGTGAATTACCTGACCATCTTGTGAAAGAGGGTATTTATAGAGAGACTCCAGCGCTAGGCCAACGATCACTTGTGTTGGGTTGGATTGTCAGGCCCAACCCAGGTGACTGTTAGGGCTTATGTGGCGTAGTGAAGACCAGGATGTGGTCTTCGCCCTAGTTCAACTGTCCCGTGATATCCGGAAAGTGGGTTTGACCTGCTCTTTCGGAGGTGGGCAGTTGGTCGGTGACGTGTCCCCGCGGAGGGGAGCACGTGGAGAACGTGTGGACACGTTGTCCTGCCCGATAGGGGGCAGGTTCTTCCCGCGGAGAGGGCAGTGTCTGGTCGATGGGGGAGTCTTGTGCTCGACACAAATGAGGCATGTTCTGCCCGCGGAGGGACATTACCTGCCCGTCGGGGATCCTGTGCTCGACGGTCGCGGCCCAAGCTGGACTGGGCTTGGCAGAATATTATTGGGCTTGGCCTGCCTGGCCAGGCCGGGGCCCAGGCCAGAACAGAAGCCCCCCAAGTCGTAGCTCCGAGGGAGGGAGCGAGGACTTGATGACGTTGTGCTGGGGAGGAGAGATTAGCCTAAGGAGGAAAACCCTCCAGCTCGTGTTTCGCGGGGACGCGAGTACGCGAGTCCTTCCTCGTCGTCGGGTGCCCAGACTTGAGGACACGTATTGGCGGGGAGATGTGAGGGGACGCGGCTGTCAGCCTTCGCCACGTGTCAAGCGCTGGGTGGCAGCTAGGGCGGCTACCCTAGGGTACTCGAGTGCCTAGCGACGCTTCGAGTCCCGTGTTGGGGTATAAGTAAGCGAGCCCCCGCTCATTCTCCACTTTTCGCCTTCTTGCTCTCAAACTCTCTGACTTGTCGTCTCGCTACCGTCTGATCTCTCCGTCGCAGCAGCTGCCACGTACTCCGCCGCAGATCGAAATATAGTAAGTTTCTCTTCTCCTTTCATTCGTTTTTCCCGTTTGTATTAAGACTGTGGTCGGGGCATGTTGAATGCCCCGAGGAGAGGTGAGGATCTCCGCCGCAGTAGGGGGTTTTCTAGGGTTTCACCGTGAGCGTTTCAAGAAGAAATGCCAATTCCGATGAATGCACCGGGGTCAGATGCTTGTTCTGATGAATGCCCTGGGGAGAGACGCTTATTCCGATGAACGCCCCGGGGAGCGACGCCTATTCTGATGAACGCCTCGGGGAGAGCGTGTAGGTTAGGTTATGCAGGCGGGTTGGCCAGCTGGTCGGGCAGGCTTCCGCTGATCAGGATGGTCAGGGGTTCTCGTCTCTTCCAAGCAACCAGTTGCCCACATCCCAGGGGGCCCCGAAGAGGCCCATAGTTCAGGAGGTGGAGACCGTGGTCGACTTATCAGCGGACTCTACCGAGGAGGGTTACTCTATCGTGCCCTGCCATCAGCACCCTGTTTATTTCCACGGGGCCAGGTCGCCCAGTATTCCAGCCGAGAAGGCGAAGGCGGTCCTAAGCGCAGGTCGGGCTATGCGTAGGCAGGTCCTGACGGAGGATTTGGCTGCCCTGATGCGGACCTTCACCACGGCGATGGTTCTGAACGAGGAAAGTTGCTCGGCCATCGAGTTGTCCAAGCTGCAGGGGGACCTCGCTTTCACGCAGTCTCATTTGAACAAGGCTGTCGATGACCTGGGGATGAACTAGGGAAGGGTGACTCAGCTTACCGAGGAGCTGGAGAAAAGTCAGGGGGAGACCTCTAGTGAGCGCAAGAGGGGGGATAGTGCCGAGGAGAGGCTGAAGGCCGCTGAGGAGGAAGTGCGGGCACTGAAGGCTTGCGTGGAGAAGCTGGAGGGTGGCCTTCGTCCTGCCGACGATGAGACCGACGAAGACAGGCAGATGGTTACCGGGGCTGATCTGCTCCCCAGGATACGGGTGCTGGAAGGTGACTGTCTGGACACTTTCGCCGCGGGTTTCAATGGTGCTGTCGCGCAGCTTAAGGTGGTGAACTCTGGCGCCGCCTTCGTCGAGGACGGCATCGGGCCTTTCCACAAGATAATCGATGGTTGGGTGGTCGACCCCAGCGCCGAGGCGGCTGGTCCCGATGTCCATCCCATCGAGCCTGAAGCGGAGGAGGAAGAAGGAGCATAGTTTAGTTTCGGGCCTGCGTGCCCGCGTATTCTGGCCTGCGTGCCAAATAATTTGTATTTTTCTAAGTGTTTTTCTTTACTGGGCCTGCGTGCCCTTCTTGGTGATGTAATATTAACTATTGGGATGGTGCCCGCTTTTATATGATACTTTTGGAAATTTGTTTAAGTGTGCGCTTTGTTTTTTTTTTGCATGGTGTTATGCTCGTTTTATTTCTGCACTTTTGTATGCTCGAGATATATGTTTGTATGTTTAAAATGCATGTTTGTTATGCTTCTGGGCCCGTCCGAGGTGGTAGCTCGACGATAATTGTTTCCGGTAGTGTGGATAACTGGTCGGTCGACCGGTTTTGTTACCTGGTCGTTACGGGGGTAGTTTATCCCCGCGGCGTGAACGTCCCATCGCGAGCTGGGTGTCCTGCCGATTCTGGTACAGCGACGGGGACTCTCGATCGAGGGGTTCTCCGTCGAGCAGAGCCTTCTGCCCGCGCACACAAAGGCAGGACTTGCTGTTTTGTTGGTCTTTAGAAGACGCGAGGAGGTGCGGTGGTACCATTTCGCCCCCCTGTGGTCGCGACGCCTAGGCGTCGTGGGCAGTGTTTAATTGTAGTACCGTTTCAGCTTCTCGGCGTTCCATGGTCGAGCTATTTGTTCCCCGTGTAGGTTTTCGAGGTAGTAGGCCCCGTGCTCCGTCTTGTCGCGGACACGATACGGGCCTTTCCAGTTCGCGGCTAGTTTGCCCTCGTGGGAGTCCTTCTGGTTTCTTTGCAAGACTAAGTCGCTGATCTGAAACTCGCGTTTCAGGACTCTGCTGTCGTGACGAAGTGCTACCTGTTGTTTCAGTCGGGCTTCCTCTTGGAGGGCGTCGTCGTTGTCCTCGGCCTCGAGGGGAGCCTCAGTTCGTCTGATGGCTCTCGTATCTCGATCGGGATCACTGCCTCGGTTCCGTATGTGAGGCGGAATGGTGGTGAAAACTTTGGTTCTCTGCTCGGAGGAACGGGGAAGTTTTGAAGTTCCCACAGACGGCTCCACTGATTTGACCTGATCAGAAGGGGATCGCTTGCTGCCACGCGTCTTCGATTTGCTGCCTGTTCACCGGTGTTGAAGAAGAGGAGAGGGGTGTACCTGCAAGACACTCTGATGCTAAAGTAAGCGTACGGGCAGAGTGACAGCAAATACAGAAAAGGGGTAAGAAGTGAATTACCTGACCCTCTTGTGAAAGAAGGTATTTATAGAGAGACCCCAACGCTGGGCCAACGGTCACTTGTGTTGGGCTGGATTGCCAGGCCCAACCCAGTTGACTGCTAGGGCTTACTTGGCGTAGTGAAGACCAAGACGTGGTCTTAGCCCTAGCCCAATTGTCCTGTGATCTCCGGAAAGTGGGTTTGACCTGCTCTTTCGGAGGTGGACAGTTGGTCGGTGACGTGTCCTCGCGAAGGGGAGCACGTGGAGAACGTGTGGACACGTTGTCCTGCCCGACAGGGGGGCAGGTTCTGCCCGCAGAGAGGGCAGTGTCTGGTCGAGGGGGAGTCTTGTTCTCGACACAGATGAGGCATGTTCTTCCTGCGGAGGGACATTACCTGCCCGTCGGGGACCCTATGCTCGACTGTCGCGGCCCAAGCTGGACTGTGCTTGGCAGAATATTATTGGGCTGAGCCTGCCTGGCCAGGCCGGGGCCCAGGCCAGAACAACTACTATTTTATATGTTAGGTTCATTGGAGTGACGTTGACCATTGAGATTGTTTGCAAAAATGGATCACATTCTCTTAAAGATGGAGAAATTTTTTTTCTGTGATAACGAGAATGGAGAACAAAATTCTTTAAAGACATTTTTGGAACGAGAACAACAGACACTAACGTAAACTATAAAGAATTTTGGTTTAACAACCATGCGTTAAAGTTGCTCTAAGTTGGATATATATTGGAAGTCTAGAAACTATATGCTAATTTCATAATATATTACTAACTTGTTTTTTGTTATAACGAGAATGGAGAACAAAATTCTTTAAAGACATTTTTGGAACGAGAACAACAGACATATATCTCATTCTGGAGAATTTCCGCCTCATTTTAGAATATCATAATATTTTTACTTTATATAAAAATTTAAAAATTTTATATAGATTTATTTGTCATTTTATATATTTATTTTATAAACAAATTTTAAAGCATTACACTTTATTTTTCATTTCATATAATTGATTCTATAAACATGTTTGAAAGTTGAGTGCTCGTGATTTTCAAGCGTATAAATTAAATATTATTTAAAAATATATTTATGTTAAGAGATT